CAAAAACTGCCGCTATTCTTGTTGTTGCTACTTATGCTCGCTTGTCTGATAGCAACATCAGCCTGAGCCCACGAAATTCCTCTTCACAAGGAGCTTTCAAGATATACCTGCCGTTGGCAACAGCCTTGAGCCACTAACAGGTGGCAGTGCGATTTTGCTCAGTTCCACCACCAGTTTTGATGGACAGCGCCCTGGGGGAAAGACGAGTCTAAGAGTCTTCCACGCCTCTTCACTTCCACTAAACCCACACGAGAGGACTTTTGGCTTGCCGCATATTTAGAGTGCCGCCATGCCGTACAAACGCTATACATTTACAAACATCCATGCCTTCTCCGGGCTTCGAACTGGGGCCCTTCGGCACAGCAATGATCGACGCTAACCACTATACCCGGTTTGGCAGCTCCGCTGTTCCTGGTACAGAAATACGTACAGTCATGCATAAGTGAACCAAAAAATATCAAATGGCTGCGATCTTCAGATTTCTAATTGAAGCCGCTTCTCCAACTTAATCTGCTACTCTTCTAGGATTAAAAAAGTCTGGACTAGTCGGATTAAGTTTATCAGAACTCAAAATATTAAATTATTGTTGATTCATAATTTCAGCGATCGACCTACATTTCGTATCGGAGCAGAAAATTGAATCTGAACTGTGAGATCAGAATATCTGAGCTGCTAGGTGGATCAGGATACGTAAAGAAGGTCAACTGACATATACGAAACGTGTTATCCTAAACTTCAGTTTGCCTGAACTGCCAAAGAGTATTAAGGCTGGTACTTACATTGCCTTGTAAGACCTTATATACAAAACTCTTTCCGATGCTCAAAGCCAAGGTTTCGGTTACTCAAAAATGTCCTATCTTAGTAAACTCGCATGTGCACGTTGCATTGCGGAAGTCTACGACAGCGATAATTGCAATGCCAACCATGTGATAAGTAGCCTTGAAAAAGATTATCTTACGCCTATGCAGAGTGAAATAAATCAAATAAATAGGCATGCAAACAAACGCATGCGTACAAAATAAATAGACAATCGAAAACTTACAGCAAAAAATAGCCCAGAAATCAACAATAACTATACCAAAAATATCGAATAATAAAGAAACTAAGGATAACTAAAAATAATAACAAAATTTCAGTTCCTCTCAAAAATCCAAGTGCGAGTTGTTTTCGGGAGCATTAGTTCAGGAAATTTAAATTCTGCTGTAGATGTAGAATAGGGACTAGACATTCCGAGACATCTTCTTCCACGCAAAACAAAACAAACATGCCAAAAAAAAAAATTAAAAAAATCAAACATCAGTCATAATGTCTACCCTCGTTTCACGGAATTATCGTGGCTGTTACCAAAATCTCGTGAATATCAAGGATTTGATTGATTTACATAATCCTGCGTGTTTGGACTTTCAGGAAACTATGCTAAAACCGGAAAAGTTAAGCTTCAGAGGTAATCTTTCACCAAAAGATTACTTCTTAGGTGCGTGTGCTAGTAGGGTTGTAAGTCTCATCTCATTTAACTATCCCTCGAGTTCACTTTTCTTAACAATTAGCTCCAAGCTGTTTCTGTCCAAATAAGTATACGGAGTTTACTGTCAATTTTTTCAGTTTATTTCACATCAAATTATTATATCGGAGTTAAGGAGATTTAGATGACCTAATAGAGTAGCTGGCCTGTGCCCTTTATCAAAATAGGGACTTAAACGGCCATAGTCCACTCTGCAGACGTAAGGACGCAAATCCTCGAGGAAGACAAATAGAGCATATGGTCAAAGTTTACTACCTCTGACGCCTCAATAAGGGACATAATACCTACTTTTACTAGCCTACAAGGACCTTCCATGCTTTGGATCTCGCGAATTGTTCACCAACTCCCTTGCAATACAGTTTAATTAGTGTTGGGAATGATCCTAACAACCGTAGTCATTTCCCAGTTTTTGTATCTCTCACGTGAGCAGTGTTTCACGTGTTTCACATCTTTTACTATTACTTTTGTGTACTATTACTTTTTATTTTTACTATTATTTTTATCGATGATTCAGTGAAAACAGTTATTGATACTATAAATTTAGGCCACATTTTCTGTACCGATGACATAAAAAAAATCTACCGAAATATTCAAATCCGTGGTGGAATCGTGAATGCCTAAAAACACTGAGACGATAGAAAAAGGCTTCAGAAACGTTTCGTAGGTACCCTATTTTGTTAAACCATAAAACTATATGGTTTAAGTAGTTTGCCTAGTTAAAAGAGGCAAAGTAAAGCAGAAGAGCCACAGAAATTCGTGGATATCCTATGCGCCTTCAATTACATCTTTGCACCTAGTAAACGAGTATGGGAGAGTTATAAAAACTAGTGGAATATATAAAGACCACTCACTTTTGTTCTGGAAAAAGATAATCGCATGCTTAGTATCGCAGAAGAAATTGCAAACGCTACTGGTGACACCTTTGCTGCTGTTTCTTCTAACAGAAATTACCCACCAGCATTTCTTTATCTTAAACTACGTTCTAAGAGAAATCCCACTTCTCCGTAACTTATAATCATTGGCATTAGCATCAGCTCTTCCAACTCTTAGTTTTATAATGGCAAATTTGCTCTTTTTGAATTAAGGACAGCGTTAATACATACAGGTAAGTCTAGCTCGGGTCAAGATGGTGTAAGTTATTAAATGCCGATGCATCTCTACTCTAAGTCACTGCGTGCTCTTCTCACTCTTTACAAGCGAGTTTGGAAGGAGTCCACCTTTCCCAATGCACGGAAGAAAGTTATCACTCCCATAGGAAAAAATACAACGTAATATCATTGTATTACATTGTATTAAATATTACTCGGAAATTCTTCCTAAAAACAGGAGTTAATGAAACGTAAAAAACAAGGATATTAAATAAATGCGATTTGAATACATAAAACAAACTTCCAGAAATATACAGTGTAGCCAAGACATCTACATATAAAAAAATTACGTCTTGAGCTATGATTAAAGTTAGGAAAGGTATTTATATTGCTTTATGTAGCAATTCGGCAATGCTGTCAGACTTAGTCCTTGAGTTTGTTTGAAAACTTCTACAAATTATATTGAACTATATTGAGTTCAAATGAATCGGTTTACCGACATCTCCAATCCTTCTTATGACTACAAACAGTCTTGACGTAGAAAGTTTGTTGCACTACTGCTTAAATATGTTCCGTATAAGACTATTTGGATGACACTGTGTGGCAACACTTCAGACATGTACCTTTATCGTGTGACGTAGCAACTTCCCCGAGGCAAGTTTAGTTTTCTGATAATCAGTCGCAAACATGTCTCGACAGCTGCAAATAGCATCCAAATTGGAAATGCGTGCAGTGATTCTTTTTTTTCTTGTGGGCAAAAAGGTCAAACTGAACTGAAATTTATGGGCAGCTACATGAAGTGAATGGTGAAAATGCAATGTCATGTCAAGCTATCGCGAAATGGTGCAACATGTTTGAGAATGGACGTACAGATATTGACAATGCCGAGCGTGAGGGAAGATCATCAACTGCAACAAATTCGGAAATCGCTGCTCGCGTGAATGAATGCATTCTTGCAAACAGACGCATAAAGATAGACTCAATCTCAAATGAACTGGATATTTCTAATGGAAGTGTGCATAAAATTATTGCCGATCACCTTAAATTTCGTAAAGTTTGTGCTTGATGGATGCCACGTCTATTGACGTAGGAACATAAAAGAAAGCATTTTGAAAGTGCATTTGCATTTCTGCAACGTTACCAAACGGAAGGAAATGAGTTTTTGGACTACATTGTGACTGGAGATGAAACTTGGATTCACCAATTCTCATCTGAAACGAAACGCAGCTCGCTCGAGTGGAAACATTGCAGTTCCCCGACACGAACAAAGTGTCGAACTGTTCCATCTGAGGGGAAAGGTGATGAGAACGCTGTTTTTCGACAGAGAAGGCGTGTTGCATACGATTTCATGTCGAAGGGTGCCACAATTAATGCATTTTCTTCATGTGAAACATTAAAACGATTGCGACAATCACTTAAAAATCGACGGTCAGGTAAACTGTCGAACGGCATTGTGCTGCTGCATAACAATGCAAGACAGCATGCAGGAAAACAAACATGTGACGTTCTGAAAAAGTTTAGGTGGGAAGTGTGGAATCACCCTCCTTATAGCCCAGACCTTTCACCACCTGACGTCCATGTGCTTGGTCCCATGAAACAAGAACTTTCAAAGCGACGGTACCATTCGGATGCCGAAGTGAAAGCTGCAGCCCAATAATGGTTATCGGACATTGGACTGGATTTCATAGCAGAAAGCACCGAAAACCTTGTACCACGCCTCGACAAATGCTTAAATAACGGAGGTAATTACGTTGAAAAAGTAGATTTTGAATGGAACTTTAAGATATAAATAAAGTTATTGTAAAAATTTGCTCCTGCTTTGTTTTAGGCAGTGCAACTAACTTTTTGACTGAACCTCATATTATGCAGTACCCAGAAATAGCAAGTTGAAAAGCGCTGTTAAGCAAGATTGAACTACTGAAATATTCAGTATATGAAATCAACTCTATTATACTTGAAATTTATAAAAATGTGACAAAATAACTTAAGTGCATGAGTGTCCAATATAAAAGAGAACGAAAGCATTCTATTAAAAACAAATCTGATGAATTCATTACAAATTACATTAAATGATAAAGATGTATGGTGTAAGTGCAAGACTTCTTAAAGGCTCTTGAGAACACAGATCGGAAAGAAATAATTTTCGAATAGCCAGCTACTGAGCTCTGTTTAGAAACAGCCACATTTTTATTATGTTTATAATCAGACTCAAACTGACTGTAAAATTTCAGCAAAAGAAAGATGATGGGACGTATTACTGTAAAGGGATATAATGGATTTGCAGATGAGACACAGAGCGATGCTTAATGTCATCACAGAATGCTCATTTTATGCAAAGATAGCTTGAATGTGCTCACTGAAACTGGCAACGAAGATTCAAAGCTACTCACTTAGGGACTGTTTTTGAAGGCAAGATTTCGTAACTGGATCCAGGGTGGATTGTGCAGTTCTGAGATGCGGAATGATCTGGTGGTTGATAGTAGAAGTTTCCCGTGGGCGGTCTTCCGGAATAGGAAGGACTGTGTTCCAGCTGTCTCAGTTGCATGTTCAGGGACTGAGACTGTGAAAGAGCATTGCGAACAGTACTGTGCTTCCTGTACAGGCAGAATCCAATCAAGAAGCTTAGAAGGAGAACGCCAGCTGCGGCACCACATCCAGCCAGTAAGGGGATATTACCTGCAATAAGTTGGAGATTCGTTCATGTATAACGAATAACGAGTATAACGAATATATAACGAATTCATGTATAACGTGCCTTCGAGTTTGAGATAGATATCGTATAGAAGTATAGAGATATCTTTTGGACAAGAGAAGGAAGGTACAGGATGGGCCAAACCTACTAATGTTAAATATGGATAACTCTTGTAATAATAATTCATTTCGGCTAATTTTTTTATACATTAAATATGTTTTATGGAAATTATATATGAAATATGACATTAGACAAATGTTCACCATTTTTCTCGATACAGAGATAAGCTCTTTTTAACGCGTTTTCCATTACACCGCGTCGCTGTTGGTGGTCTTGCGGTAGCAGTGTTTGCACAATTTGAATTTTGTATGGGTACATCTTAAGATTTATTTAAAACTTTAAAATTCTACGCAATGTCGCTCTGGAAATGCCCAACTGGCTGGCACGACGACGAGTTGAGACGGATGGATCATCTGCAACACTCTGCCGCACCGTTTCCACGTTGTCTTCAGTACGAATATTTCTATAGGCACCTCTTCCAGGATGATCGGCCACTGAACCCAGTTCCTCAAAACTACCGAATAAAACTCCTAATCAAGAAGGCTGTGGGAGCTGATCTTGAACTAAAATACTGACGATATTTACGCTGCGTTTATAACAATTGACCGTTGACAAGAATAGAAAAACTCGATAATTTTAACGCGTTGTTTTGTACTGTATGGTTTCCATAATAAATTTCGAAGAATTCAACTATAACCTACAAAAAGAAAAAATAATTATATCAAAAAATAAAAATATTATTTGTGTTTAACATTGGTAGGCTTTATTTGGCTCACCCTGTAAGTTTAGTAAAGAGGTAGCTTTCGTATAGAGATGGTTTTAAGTTTTAGCTATTGCAACAAAAACTCTAAAAATTTAATTTATGGAAAAATATGTGCAGATGTGATAGGAATACATACCATTTGACATATGCAAAAGTAAATGAAATTTTCAAATTCATTCAGAAGATAATTGAAATATATATATATATATATATTGTGTTATATATAAATGAACGAAGTTTTTATACTGACATTTTTCAGTATTTACGGCCTTCAGTTTCGTTGAAAGTTTTGCTTATTCGAGCTCACAAAGGCAAGTCTTACCGCGGGCTCCACTATTTTCTCCATAAAGTTTGATCTCAAAATTTGCATTTTCTTAATTACATATTCATTTCTTTCTAACTTTGTGTGCGATTTCAAATATAACACACTGGTTAACTTTTGACTGAACCCTAAAAAAGAATTTAAAGGCATCTCAGATAAAGCTATTAAATTTTTGCTTCCTTTTTGCACAGCCTATTTCTGTGAACAAGGATTTTCTTCCATGTTATGTTTGAAAATAAATACGGAACAAAAATTAAAGTGGATCCTAATTTACGGCTAAAGCTAAGTGTGATAAGACCAGACATAAAGAAATTGATCTCTCAAACAGACTCAGATTTCCTACTAAATTTTATAATTTAAATTTTGATAAATAAAATGGTAACCAATTTTTAATCTAACATTTTTTATGTGTTCATATTTAATACAAATTGTTAATAAGTTGTGCAAATTGCAAAAAAAAATATTTTAAAATCTTTCTATTGAGAATTTGAAAAATAATCATTGTAAAATATAGTGCTGGTTTTTTAAAGTTTGTTTTATATGATACGCGTTAGTCAAAAGGTTGAGAACCGCTGGCATAGATTATAATAAAATGTGAGTTAATCGACTATTTAATTTAAGTTTAAATTATTGTAAGTATTTTGGTGAATAAGAGACCATTAATAATGGAAAGTCTTGTCATATTTCGAATACTAAACAGTGGGGAGGGTTCAGCATTTCTATCCCCTATAGTGTCAAGAATGAACCTTAATGACTGCTGATTATAAGTATGTTTCTAGGGATTCTTCCTGTAGACATAAAATTATTATTGTTAAATTCTACTTACATTTGTCCTCATCTGTATAATCTTCGTTTCCACAGTTTGGGTATCCATTGCACACGAGGGATTTGTCGATGCAATAATTGCGCATTTCGGAGCACGAGTTGTCTGCCGTGTTGATGCAATAACGGCTCTCCCGACACACAAATTCCTGGCATTTCCCTAGGGAGAAGACAGAGGCATACGTATATTAAACGCTGATGCAACTGAACAATGTTCTCACTTGTTATAACACGTCAGGACGACCACTGCGACGACACGAACGTCATACTTCTATGATTGATTACAGAGCCCGACTTTACCCCATTCGGCGTTAAAGAGGGAAGATCGAACACGCATCGAAAATTAATACTTCCTCTCTTCCGCTTCCTGGCGAATATTTTGGTATTTCGTGTAGCGGAACATAATTAACGTCAAGTCATGAAATATCGATAGAGAATCGTGTCTCTTCAGAAAAGAAATGGTTATATCTATTGAATGTTACGAAATAGACATTCTACGATTTGCTTCACCGTTAAGTTAGGTTCCATAACTTTATTCATTTTAGTTCCCAGTAATTTAATTCAGAATTAATTTACGTCGTGATATTTCTTGATTTAATTCGGCCATGAAAGAGAGAGACAAATTGCTTCCATGCATTTAATTAGTCTAGCGAGAAAATATTAAACAATGGCTTTAGTCAGTGAGTGGAAAAAAATTATTCCACTACAAATCTAGAATAAAAATTATTCCGTTCTTCATTGGAAAATGAATAAAAATATTTTATTTTAATTCTTTCTCTTTTTAGAGACGATAAAGTTTAATTAAGTTTATATCAAATGAAGTACAACATCAGTTGATTTTACTGATCTCTTTCTTTTAAAATAATTTCAATGTCAATAGGGCGTTATTTTAAAACAGCTAAATAATAAAATAAATACACAGTAATAATAAAACATATTCAACAATAGTATAAATCCATATCTACGTATTAATTGCAATACCATGCTTTAAATGAACTGCTGAATATTTAAAGTAATCGGTTTATTTCCAACTTTAATTCTAATTTTAAAATTAAACACACATTTTGCTTTTGAAAGTAACATTAATTGTGTGACAAATACTCTTTTCATTAACCCTTTTGTTCCGTAATCTTAAAATTGACGTTTTTTAGCCCAAATGGGCGTTAGGCCAGAAGGGCTATTAGTCAGAAGGGCTGTTAGTCTGAAAATAGCATTTTACGTCGAAACACTTTAAATATCTGAAATACTTTTAAAATAGTTGCCATTAAATATAATTGCCCTGTTTTATATTAAAAAAAACTACATAATGACTCATCTGCATGAATCTGTGTATGTTTCTCGCATTGTGAAAAAGCAACAGTACTTAGAGTGATCAAGTTTTAAATAACATAGTTCTCCACCCGAACATGAGCCCCCGGAAAATCGAATTTGGAGTTGGTTTTATTGTCTGTTTCATAATCTGTAAAACTCTAACGAATTTTTGATTAAAAGGCTCAAGAATTTCAAAGCGAGCAGTGGTAACACTGTAGGAAGAAAAACATTTTTATTTCTAGCGTACGAAACTGCCTATCGAAAATTATAAAGATATGCAGTTTTTAAATATTTTTTAGCAGAATGTGGCTTTATCCCAAATGCTCTCGAAACATGTATATGTCTGTAAATAAAAAAAAAAAAAAAAAAAGAGCCCGTTTGGGCGTAGTCTAAAATTTGAAAGCTTTCAGATTTATTATATAACTAAAACTAATCTTAGGAGATAATATATCAATATTTCTTTAGTAAATAAATATTATTACTTACTTTGCAGCAATTGCACAAGTAGTAGAATAACTCGATTTCGCACTAAGTGAATTTAAGATCATACGTATATATATATATATATATATATATATTGTGTCTATTGGCATATTGGCTAATAACTCATCTGAATCTACTGAATCAGCTGTTAAACTGGAAGAAGAAGCGCATCGAAAAAAACTGAAAGAAGTAAAGCTAAAAAAATATGACATGCTTTTATTGTTATGAGTCATCTACAAATGAAAAGCAATGGTTTATAGTCAATTTTCTAAGAGTTAAAAAAGAAGAACTCAGACTTTTATCTATTTATCTTCTTAAAAAATTCCATGGAAGCAAACGCAACTGCTTATCTGGAGCCTCTCACAGATATGAATTACGGAATTGCGAAAAATGCTATGAATCAAACAATATATAAGTATTAAATTAAAGCTACATTGAGAAAAAAAAAAAAAAAAAAAGGTTACTGTTCTACATCTTCTTTTCTGCTTAGCTGATCGACGAAATTCAAATTGCGTTTTGCATGTCTCGAAAGCATGACTTAAAATATATATTAGATTTACTATATATAGCATTGTTTAAAGATAGGTAGTTTGACACAAAATCGGACTTTTTGTGAAATCCATACAATTTTTTTTGCCATATTTCGATTCTACGACTAAAAGTATGCCTAAATAGTAAATTTTGTAAAATTCGTTTACGGAAAAATTCAAAAATTTATCTTGGCGCATTTTTTTTGTAAAAAACTAATTTTTTGCAGGTGTGCCTAGAATTCAAGATGATGTTACAAATTTTATAGGTTGTAATTCAAATTTTTTTTCGAAAATTTATAAAGATTATTTAAAAGTACAAAGTTTAAAAATAAATCATAAAAAATGGGCGAATTTTATTTGGAATGAACGTAAATTTTGAAATGCGAAAGGAAGAATCAAATAATTTTAATCAAAAAAGAGATATTAAGAAATATATTCCAAATTCTATGAACATTGAGGAGCTAAAATTTTGAGAGCTAATTTCTTAGAAACTACTAATGCGATTTTTACAAAACTTGGCAGTTTGGCATAATTTGAGTCGTAGAATCGAAATGTGGAAAAAAATTGGGTTGTCATTTCAGAAAAAGTTCGATTTTGTGCCAAAATACATACATTAAAACAATGCTATATATAAATCTAATACATATCCTAAGTCGCGCTTTCGAGACATGAAAAACGCAAGTTGAATTTCGTCAATCGGCCCAGTAGCACGAAAGATATAGAGCTGTCCAATTTTTTTTTCTCCAAAATGAAATACAATGAATATTTGCTATCCTTTCAGAAAAGAATTAATTGTCATGTAATCCCAGATTGGAACATCATTTGGAAGCAATCATCTATTTTGTTAGATGATGGTTTCCCAACTAAAATTACGATTTGTATTTCACCTATCTTTTATCCACAGGGTTTTTTGAGAAGGTTCTTGAGGTAATAGACTTTGGTGAGTGTAAGAAAGTTTTGAGCTTCGATACTCACCGAGTTGTTTCTTTATGAACAGAAGACATTATTTTTGACATCATGGAAAGCGGTAACTCCCTTTACATTATAAAAAAACTCATAAAATGAGAAACATAAATAAAAAGCAAGGATGTGTTAAATAAATTCCTTTTATAGGATTCAATTTCAAATTTGTACATTAAATTTAAATCGACTCGAAACGCTAGAGAAAGTTTACGAAGTGCATTAAGGTCAACATTCGATATAAAAAAAGAATAGTAAATAAATTTTGATATTTATACGAAAAAGGTAATTCTAATAAACAAGATCCCTCCGAGACCATTAAAAATAACATTTGTACATACACTTGTTTGTTTTTTTATTAAAAAATGGCACTAAATAAAGAGATACCCATCCATTAAAGAGAACGTCTTTACAATTCCAGATAAAAATGTAAATTATTTTTGATCAAATTAAGGTATTGCAAATTAATTATGACATCGAAGTTTATCAAAATATTGTGATGGTGGTTAAACTAGTCTTCTTTATGACTGTTTTACAGTACTTTTTTTTAAGTATATATAACATTTCGTAAGCAAAGATATACATGATATTATGAAATTATATTAGTTTCTGATAATTTAATCATTCGGTTTTCGAAAGCACAAAGAATTTACGCTTCAGGAAGTTTACTGTACTATTATTCAGCTTTTTATATAGCTGGATTTTATTCCATCTGTCGGTACAGTAAATTAAGCCTTACATATGCTGCATATTCAATGTATCTTTTAAGATGGACTTAATAAAAAATTAGGACTTCAAAACATGATTTTATCAGTGTTTTGCCTTCTACATGTTCTATGTACTGATTTACTTCCGTCAGAGCGTTCAAAGACCTTGTGAGTGTATTTTTAAGCAAGTGAGCTGCCGTAATATGTTTCAGTTCTCTCTATCCGCTGTCCACATCTGTTAAAGAACAAAATAGTTGAAAACTGGTAGTTTAACCAAGGTAAAATTACTTTTTTACATGGGAAATTTTGGGATTTTCAGCAGCTTGAGAGGTGAATATGATTCAATTTTTTAAAAATATTCCAAGAAAGCATTCTTCTCTTAGAAAGATTAATATCCTTAATTAATTAACTAATCAACCAACTCTTGATAGGCTTTAGTGAATTTCTAAATCCTTTTCAAAATGCTTCCCTTTACGATGATGGCATATTTGGGAACAGAAAATGTTCCCCAAGTTCTAAGTCTGAGGAGTAAGGTGAGACATGATTATGTGCATTTTAAGTTTTTCTTTAAAAAAATACTTTGTAGTTAAGTTTTGTGAAACAAGCTTGAAGAATATTGTTGAGGCTTCGAATTCGTAATCGTAGAAAGTTGCATGTAACAGAACAAAAATTCCATTTAATTTTTACCTCCGTAAGCAAGCGATAGTTTAAAAAGCAAATTTAGGTATGTTAGTAAGTTAACTAGTTATCACTTATCAACTAAAAAAGGTAAACTGGTTATCGCTTGTCAACTTTCCTGAGATATCTTGAAAATGTTTGACCTAAAACTTTGTCGACTCGCCGCACGTACCATTATTTACTAATCAACGAAGTTGAGCGGTTCATAGTCGGTTAGAATATCGCATCATAATCGCTTAGAATGTCGTTATTAGCCCAAAGGTATGTTAGCCCAGAAGGGCTATTAGTCTCGAAATTGGACTTTTGCGTCGAATCATTTTGAAAGTCTGAATCACTTTCAGATTTTTGCCACCAAATATTATTACGCTGTGTTATATTAAAAAAATTAAATAATGAAGAATCCGATAAAGTATGTATGGTTTTTTGCACTGTGATCAAACAGCGGTACCTAGAGTCATCGAATTTTGAATAACGTAATCTTAATCTTCCAC